GCTACTTATAGTTGAAGCAGGAAAATTATTTACATTCGCTATCTCGAATGACACGTTGCTTTGCAATTATCTATCGCTCAAGTTATCAAATAAAAGTTTAATCGACCTTGGACAGCAAAAAAAAATGTTTCAAGATCAGAATGTCACCGAGATCGTGAAAATAAATAATTTTTTCTCATAAATCATGTTGGATCAATCAACTATTACAGCAATCATTCGATTCCACGTATGAATTATTTACATTCTTTTCTCTGCAATTAAGTACTATTGGGAACAATATAGCTATCTGAATAGAAAGTAATATATTATGGAATTAATCAGTTCGAGCAAACAATACAAAAAAAAAGAAACAAACATGACTGGTGATTCAATCATTATTTTCTCACTTTCAGAAACATGTGAACAATTTTCTGTGTATATTTCGTACGGTTTAAGCATCTAGCAAGTAAGCCACGACTCGTTGAATTTTTCTTTATCACACTTTATCGTAATTTTAAGTTCGTTGTTGAAATAATTTTATTCTTTGTTGCATTTACCTCAATAAAAATTCTGACGAGGGTCAAAAAATAGGGCTCGGAACGTTTTATTGACTGATACCATGTTTAATGCGAATTTAATCGCGAGTATGCAACACACGTCGTTAACCGAATGTTTGATTAACTATCGAGAGACCGAGTGGATCGAAAATACTTCAATATCCCGACAACGGACGCGACTTCACTGGCTCATTCGCGCGAACCGTGGTTCAGTAGTACGAAAAATTCGTATTAATAAATTAAAGATAAAAGAATGCGATAGGCAGCATGCATCGTAATAATTCAGTTTACTGTAGTGCATGGAAGCCATTGTGGGTTGAAGTTACGTATTAGAAGCGAACAAAGTAGAATAAAGTTCATTCGCGAATTTAATAATAAAATAAAGTTCAAATTTTGCATTTCGAGCAAATAAACATGTTGTCTTGGTCGTTGAAAATGTGTGAAAATTTTAATTATTTTTTAGATTATAGCACCTAAACTGCTACGAGCAATCTGTCTGAGGTATTTGGAAATAAAAAAGAACATAAAATGCAATTGATCCTTTAGAAACGTTAATTTGCAATAACTGACACTTTAATGCTGTTTTAGGTTTTTTGGGGGAATCAGCGTGGCGACAAATTCGTTTTGTAACGAAAGAAGATTTCAAGAAGTTGGAGGTTTCCTCGAAATGTAAGGAAATAAAATGGCGGCCATCCACTCACGCAACAGTCATATTTTAATTTCTAAACCTAATTGTGGAATCTGAAATTCCAACGAAGGTTCGTCCATTTTAAGAGCTATATTTATATTTATTTTCTTTTTAGTTGCTGTTTCCCAGGGGCGAATATTTCACGACGACAGAAACAATTTTCGTAAGTATCCGTCGAGCAGAAAAATTACACCAGAACAGCGACGCCATATTGGATTGTTCCGCGAAGCAGGAGAAACGTACAAGGGACTCAGGATTAAGAATTAAAACTTGGAACGGGTTCTAAATTGCTTTTAATTTTAGGTCCAATCGTCGAAAGAGTAACCTGTTCTCTACGAACACTGAAATATCGGATTGATCATCTTGGATACGGACAAAGCAGGCGTAGGGTGAGGCGTCGATGGAGCAGAGAAATCGCGCGGGAGAAAGAAAATCCCAGGATCGTTTATGGAAATTTAATGGCTGTTTTAGCATAAAAATCCCCCGAACGTCGACAGCAAAAAAATATCGTCCGTGGAGCGTGCTCGCTTAGACAATAGCAGCGCCGCCGTAACCGGGGTATCCTCGAAATTTCAAGCCCGTCTTCCTTGACGCCAAAGGCTACTTCGCCCGGTGTCGTGTATTGAAGGACCCGGGACCGTGGCGGCCCCGGGGCGATCCAGAAATGGAATATAATCAAGCCCGGCGCTCCGACAGAGACGGAGAACGCGTCGAGTGGCGGCGGGTAAAATGTCCAATAGCGAGCCAGAGGGGGGGAGGATGACGAAGAGAAACAGACAGAAAAAGGGTGGACGAAGATGGGGAATCGGTGGTGAGCGCGAGAACCCAAGGGGATGGAGGGGGGTGGTCGCGAGAAGAGCCACGAAGGAACCACCGGGAACGAGGGACGAGGAAGAGGTTTCGGGGGATCCCTCTTACGAAAGAGAAGAGGAGAGAATTATCGGGCGGAGAAACCCAGGGGGAGGTCGCGGAAAGAATGAGACGGTCACGAGGCAGTCGCGAGGAATATGACGGGAAACAATAAGGTGGAAAAGTAGAAAAGTGCACGGACCAAGAGAGAGAGAGAGATAGTGAGAGATAGAGATAGATGTATGTATATAACGTGGGGGTGTGGGGAGGGAGAGGGTCGAAACGGAGCGTCGGGCGCTCCGCTCGGCAGGTTCGAGGGATGACAGCCCGCGGCCCATGCTACCCCCGGGCGTCGCGGATATTGAGTTCACGGTAACCATGGAAACGGGGCCCGAGGCAATGACGTTTGTGCGCTTTATCCCTTATTCCCGCGGTTACGTGATCAACGCGGTTCCGAGCTCTTTTGCTCTCTCTCCTGCTTCGCCTTCCCTGACCGCCGTTCCACCCTTTCCTCTGCGTTCCTCTTCTTCACCGTCGACGGCACGCTAGTTTGTCTTTTTATCTAATGCCACGGTCCATTGTCGGCTGAAGGTTTACGCGGCATCTTGGGAGCGACGAAACAGAGGCACTTTGAGCTCGTCCCAGTTTTTACGACAAATTTATTAACCCTTTTGCGCCGCGAGAATTGTTTTTCCTTGAAAAATGTTAAAACGCTTTAGAGTTTATGTTCTGTTCCGTACACTGGACCGCGTCAAAAACAGAAACTTGGGAAGTAGAACGTGGACAGTCTCTGCTCAGACACGGGCCGTACATCTGACACGATACTTTTCTCGTACGATTTTTCTATTTATTACGGCGAGATAACGAACTCCCCCCCGCAATTATACGGGAAATATTACGAAACTCGTTGCACCGAAAGGATTGGACGCAGCCGGTGGGAAGAGTCGAAAGCAGATGCCGCGTAACCCGTTTTAGAGCCTATCGAATTTTTATGCCCGGAGAGCCGCGGAAACCGCATTGTCCCGACTAATGATTTCATTTCGCGGCGGATTTTATTTTTGTTCCGCGGACCTAACCGAGCCGCGGCCGCCCCGCGGGAAACACACGCCTCCCCGTCTTTTTTTCCCTCTCGTATCGCGAGCCGGTTGGCACGTTTCCGGGACAATGCTCGACCGTGGCCTTTATTCGTCGTCGCTTTGCCCGTTAATAAAGAAAATTGAATGTTAATCGGCCGCGGGCGTCGGTCGACAAACTTTCACCGGGAAGTACCGAATAATAGAAATTTTTCGCTCTCCGAGCCAATCGGCGACACCGTGGAAATCGTCTATATTCATGTAAACGGCGATGTACAACATTTTATTGTGAAAGTAAATGACGACGAGGGATACGGTTTCCAGTAATAAACATTTTATTAAATCAATCGAAACGATACTTATCGCAGTAAGAGTTCTGTCGATCGGAAACTATTCTTCTCTTCAATTCATAATATAACCCGGAACAGTCTCGATGACTCGGGAGACGCGCGTTCGATCTCTTCAGGGACGCTCTTTCAAAAATTTACATTCGAAAGAGAGAGAGAACGAGATTTTGTAAAAACTGAAATGAAATTGTTTTGATAAATCCCGTCCCTGAAGAGACCGTGTCGACAGCCGATGAGATCAACGCGAATTATTTCGTTTGTCGAGCGTTTCCGCGTCCGAGCGTCGGCAATTCAAGTACATAGAATATTTATATTTATATATATAATATATATATAGATATAGATACACGTTGATTCGCGGTATTTACTGTAATTAGTATGGCATTTAAATACATATAGTTACACCTTATTAAATAAGAGCAATGTAAGGACCGGCGCACCCGAGGTTCTTAAGCATAAGTGGGTCACGTGCGTGCGTAATGATACCCGTTCGATGATATGTAACTGCGACGATTGTGCTACCCGAAACCAACGTTCCCGGAAACACCGAATCAATTTTAACGGTAATTTTCATTTCAAATTACAGACTCCGGGACATTTCCAGCGCCGCGATGCTCGCCGTACGCGGTGCCGTTTAGGCATTCGATCGCGACGTAAGCTTCGATCGAAGGGAAGTTTGACCGTGTTACGTGCATCGGTTTATAAATTAGGTTCCCGTCGATCTTGAACGCTTCCTAACAGCCTGTTTGCGCTCGCCATTCGCGCGTAACTTACTGTACAATCCGAACAACGATTTCGTCCGGCCGCTATCACAATTGCGCTCCGAAAATATTGCAAAATTATAACCTATCCGGTACGGTTACGTCGAAACAATAAAAAAAAGAAAGACTTCTCTATAATAGGAGGCACGGAGAGGACGGGTTACTCCTATGTCCAAACGAAACGTGAAATTAGTCAGCCATCGCGAGAGCGTAACGATTCCTTTGCTAATTTGTTTTCGACGTCGCTCGAAGGGTAAGGCCGCTGTAAAAACCTGAAATGAAGCGTTTTTTTACGATTTTTTTGATGGATGGAGAAGTAAGAGCATCATAATGTTCAAGAAAAAATATTTATTCAAAAATATTGCAAAATGACGACGTTGATGAATAAATATTTTTTTTTTAACACTTAACGACATGGTTAATAACATCCTTGAATATTATTATCCTCTTACTTTTCCAAGCATCAAAAAAAAAAATCGCAAAGAGACGCTTTATTTTCGGTTTTTACAGTGGTTTTATCACCTTAATACCGATCTTTCCAACCCGGGGAACAGAACGCGTACAGTTACATCTCGCGAACGATCCTCGAGAGCGTCTGCACCGTGGTGGCCCGTCAGAACGATCGGATAATCGTCCGTGACGCAGTCTTGATGAGTCTTCTCCTGGACAACTCACTCGGGGTCCCGGTCGCGTTGGATGCAACGAACCGTCCTCGAGCTCGTTTTGCGCTGGTGCGCGGTGCTCCGTCAAGTGTTGACGGACTGTCGTACGAACAGGTACTCCGAGAACCGTTCCTCGACGCCGCCCCCGTGGCTGGCGACCACGCGGAATCCAGCGTTCAGGAGCCTGGTGATGGCCTGCACGGAGCTCAGCTTGCAGTAGCCGTTCAACGGGAACCTGATCACGTGACGGTCGTCCTGCTGGTGCCAGACGACGCCCGATCTGGCGTCGATCACCACCTGGGTCGTTTCCGGGAACACCTCGTCGAGCAACGCCCGCCCACCGGACAGCATCACGCGTTCGCCTAGATCCGGATTCACGTGAAGGGCGACGCACTCGTAGCTACAGTTCCCGTCGCTGTTGCGTATCTTGTCCGTGTCCCGGTTGCAGGGCACCGTCGTGCAACCCGTGCCGCGGCTACCCAGCTGATTGGACGGCGGCGGGCTCGGCGACGAGGAGGACATCGTCGTCGTCGTGCCGTTCTTGATACGTTCCTTCTTCATTTGCTCCAGCTGCCTGCACATCGCTGCAACAGATCGAAGCATAGAGTATATTTTTAATGGAAATTTGTATCCAATGGTGGGGTCCCCTCCCTTGCTAATGTCAGTACCACCTGAGGAGGACCTCAAGTCCAGTTAGCAGGAAACCGTTAAACTGAGAACAGCATTTCCTTGTCTTGTAAAACTATTATACCTTAATTAAGTATGTCTTAGGTCGAAACTCTGTTGTATTTATTTAAAAAATTCAACAGTTTTGTATTATTTTTTTTTTACAGATTTGCGGGGCTCCTGTTAACGAGAGATGGCATCCTGGCGGACCCTGCCTTAGACGCTGGGGGGATATTGGATCAGTCGGTTGAGGAGTGTATATAGAGGGTGTTCAGCCACCCAAAGTGAGACGAAAATCAAGAATATCAATTTGTCGAGGCTTCGTAATAAGTTATTAACATATAAAGTTCTGAAGAACAGCAATTTACGAACAGTTGCTATAGTGGAATCTCACAAATCTGTAGGGCTGTTGTTAGGTCACTAAATAGAGTTTTTCATCCTGAGTGATTGCTCGATATTTAGCACGGTGATACCAAACCCGTGACCCCCAAATTTGAATATAAAAATCAATTGAGAAAGATCGTCAGCAGACTTTTGTCGATCGAGCGATACAAGTGGTATCGGAATTTCGCGAGCCCCGTATATTTGTCGTGATTCTTCGTTATCAAGATTACAGCTGTTTAATACGGTATAATATGAACTTTCCGCGCTGCCGGTATTGCCGGTTAATGGCAGGAAAAATGATCCGGGGAGAGATTCCGACGTTCAGATAACACGATTTATCGACGTTGTACCGTGATCTTTCGCCTCGCTACAGAAGCCAAGGAAGTTGTCCGTCTGGCCGTACAGTGTCCAGCAACCGTTCAGATTTTCATACGAGATTAAATTAATACCTGGCTCTCGCGAATTTGTATGCCTTCGTTTTGTTCCATTTAACGGTACGTCCGCTCTCGTAATATTAATCACTCGCCATTAAAAAAAAGAATCTTAATCGCACGGAACACGGGAAGACGAAAACGAAACGCGGTATTTTTAATACCGATCAGAAACAGGTCTCGAGATTTTCGGAAGCAACTTGGTTGCAGTTGATCAGGGTGTTTCGTACCAAGGTTTCATTATTATCGTATAATAAAAAGTAACGACGGATCCTTCTTACGTGCAATGTCGAAGTACCGCGCTTCCTCCAGCAACAGATCCAAATCGGCGAAGTTGTCCGGTATGAGCAGACGGGAGTTCCTCATGAAGTTTAGTATGTGTCTGAACATCCCGCCGTCCCTGTCGATGAAATAGTGCTGCTTCAGGGAGTCCAGAACGATGGGGATGCTGCCGTTAAATAATTTCGCTAGCCTCGACTCCGGATACCTAGGGTGAAACAACGGGGAAAAACACTTTACCATTTGCGTGGGGCCCCCTTTATATCTAGACGTAAATAAACAAACACCCCAATCTATCTATAGTTTCATTTTATAATTCGTATATTTTATTCGACGAATAATGAATAAAATCGATGAGCAACGATCATTTTTCTTTCGAGCAAACTGTCGTTCGCGAGTGTCTTCTCGCGTCGTCTTAAATCTCGTTGATCGATTCGTACGGGGAATCCTTAAGGAGTTATTCCCAGAGAGGATACTCGAAGCAACGACATATAAATTACGCTTTCCGCATTGACGAGGTCTCGTTGAGACGAGCAGGTGCCGATATTCACCGGTCACCTGCCAAAATCGCTCCAAGTTACGACATGCAATGCACCGGCACAAGGGCGCCGCAGCTGTTGCGGGCCAGAAATTTTTTAACAAACTCCCTCGGTTCGCTTTAATTGACGATCGCCGCCGCTCCGGATCGATTAACGTCACGTCGTAAACGCATATTTTGTCATGGACCGACGCGCCGCTAAATAAAGGGCATCGACGCGGCCGGGCCCCCGGTCGGCTTATTATTTTATTGGATTAATGAAAACGTAATGGAAATTTCTCAGGGAACGGTACATTGTGCGCAAAACGAAAGTGGCGGTTTCGGGTAACAAGCTGGCTTCTTTTATTTCCTGGTCTTGCGATACACTCCTTCGAAGTGGAGCAGAATGTTAAAGAGATCGTGCATTAATTTTAAGGGAATCCTTGTGAGAAGGCTTTAATCTTCGATTTCGTGGTGGTTTTGATGGGTCGTTATGTGTTTGTCAACAATGGTTAGGTAATGGTCATCGATGGTCAACAATGAGGCTGACATCAAGATCGAAGGTCCAGGAATGGCCAAGAGGTAGGGCCAACCGAAATAGTTCTTCCGTAGGCCAGATTGATATCGACTGTTAACTTTGTCTTTGCGTCTCCCCACTCTTTCAGCTTGGGAAGAGGTATATGGAGAGGCACTGATAACAGACTTGTTCAGTACTACTGGGATTTCAAAGCGGATCGGGTCTGAGGAATTTGGGCTTCTATCTCTGGCCATTGGTGAACCGGACTGACCAGAACTGACCGGGGGTGGCCACTAGTGGCTAGTGCTGACCACTACTGACCACTACTGACCACTAGTGACCACTACTGACCAGTGCTGACCTCTATTGACCAGTGCTGGTACTAGTACTGACCACTACTGACCAGTGATGACGAACAGTAGGAATCGGTGAGTTGCATATGATTTTTATTCCTCCAGTCCCCATGTCGTAGAACGAAAGGTCCGAATCGACATGAGTGACTGGTTGTATACGTGGTATATTGTTTTATCTTAGTATCTTTTGCTTAAAATTAGAATCTTCTTGCCCTCTGCGATTTTTAAGATGACAAATGTCATAGTACATTAAATTATTTTTAATTTGACCCTCATTTTAAAATGAATAGGTGTAAGGTCTACTCGTACACCTCGTCTGTGGTAATATAACGAGTAATATTCCAAGCAGGAGATGATGCCCACCTGTTCCAGCATTCTGCCTTTTTAATAATCCCCCCCTGATTAACCGTTGCACTCTCGTTACGATTTAAAAACCGTGCCCGCGAGTTCTACGGAGACGTTCTCTCTGAAATTTGTATCCGTGGGCCATTTTGTTTCGTCGAAAACATTTAATCCGAATAAAAATTAGAACTCGAGTCACTTCATCGTGAACGAATCGCTATTATGTCTATTAGTCGAGGAAAAGTAAATTTTTATCTTGGAACATCCACCTCGAGGACGATCTTTCGAACGACGCGGAAAGACCACAGGCTATTACCCTCGAAATTATTTCTGTTCGCAGTCGTGATTTAATAAATTGACGTTTCGAAATGCTCGGCATTTCCCGGGACACCCTAATATTACATTAAAATACCTTTCGCGGCGTCGATTATTAGGCGCGCGATTTCGATCGCTCAATCCCGTGGCAACGATCGATTATCGTCATCGCCCGGCTTCGAATTTCATCTCTTTATTGCGGCTACCACGCCGGAGGAGAGACTGCTGCCATCATTTTCGTGAAAGTCGGCGTAACGGATGCCTTCTGGAGGATCGGAGACGGAGAAAGGACGAGCTACGAGGAACGAGGAACGAGGAGAGGAACTCCTTGAAAAACAAAATAATTAAATCCAGTTCGTAGATAACGCGACTAGTGACAAGTAGTTAATCGAGCCTCTGCTCAACACGATCATTCTTGAACCTTTTGTTTTTTCCGTAAATACGTACATACTATGATACCGCTTCGTCAGGTTTTACGTTTGCAGGAAATCTTTGAAAATTTTCAAGTATCCGTTAATAAATTTTTATTCAATTCGTCATTTCTAAGCTTGCTAATAAACGTATAATAAAATGTCTAATTGCTGGGGTCAGTGGAGACTGTAATGGGGTTCAAAGAGGTCTGGGTTAATTGCAGCGGATACGGATACGTAGATAGTCGTCGTCGAACCGTGCCACCTTTTCCGGCTCCTTTAGAAAGTTTCCGTGACATTTTCGAGCACGTTTCGCGTTGCATCGTCGATCGTGCCTGGCTAGTCTCTCCTCGCACTCGATACGTCGTATCTGAGAATTGCATCTCCCGATATAATGACAGACAGACCGCGAGCGTTGCAACCGCGATGCATAGTTGTTACGATGAGTTTCGTCATGAGATTAATCTCGCAATAAATTGACGCCAACACGCTAGGAATTAATCCTCGTCGCGTCGCCGGAATGAAAGATGCGATTCTGCCTGGCGCTCGCCCGGAACGGCAAAATGGCAGTTTTCTAGGAAGTTCATCGACTGGTTGCATCGGACATCGACGCCATTGCTTTCTTCGAAACACGGTTAATTTATTTTTCAAAGAATCTACCGCGATACGAAGCGGGAAGTTAATTGGAACTTCTTATAAATATGGTATTAATAATCTCGAGACGCCATTGTGTTCTGTACCTGAGAAATTACAAGCTCTCCAAGCTGCCAATATGGAAGAGATGGGTAGAGGCTGACGTCTTTGTAAACTTTTCAATGTTCGGGTGAACAAGACGGAGTCGAGAAAGTAAACATTATCGAGGACGCCATATTGGCTTTTAAAATAATTCTGACTCGATTATAAATCATGTATTTAAATATTTGTCAAAATGGAGGGCCTAGTATGGGGTTAAAATTAAACCATGGAACCCTGATCCTTTTAGAACGCCATATTGTATCGGCCATATTGTTTTCGAACATTCTGCGTTCAGATTTGTTATCAGCCACCTTCGAAAATGATTCTGCATCGATTATAAATCGCGTATTTAAATATTTGTCAAAATGGAGGGCCTGGTATGAGGTTAAAATTGAACCATGGAACCCTGATCCTTTTAGGACACCATATTGGGTCGGCCATATTGTTTTCGAACATCCTGCGTTCAGATTTGTTATCAGCCACCTTCGAAAATGATTCTGCATCGATTATAAATCGCGTATTTAAATATTTGTCAAAATGGAGGGCCTAGTATGGGGTTAAAATTAAACCATGGAACCCTGATCCTTTTAGAACGCCATATTGTATCGGCCATATTGTTTTCGAACATTCTGCGTTCAGATTTGATATCAGCCACCTTCGAAAATGATTCTGCATCGATTATATAATCGCGTATTTAAATATTTGTCAAGATGGAGGGCCTAGTATGGGGTTAAAATTGAACCATGGAACCGCGATCCTTTTAGAACGCCATATTGGGTCGACCATATTGTTTTCGAACATTCTGCGTTCAGATTTGATATCAGCCACCTTCGAAAATGATTCTGCATCGATTATATAATCGCGTATTTAAATATTTGTCAAAATGGAGGGCCTGGTGTGAGGTTAAAATTGAACCATGGAACCCTGAACCTTTTAGGACACCATATTGGGTCGGCCATATTGTTTTCGAACATTCTGCGTTGAGATTTGTTATCAGCCACCTTCGAAAATGATTCTGCATCGATTATAAATCGCGTATTTAAATATTTGTCAAAATGGAGGGCCTGGTATGAGGTTAAAATTGAACCATGGAACCCTGATCCTTTTAGGACGCCATATTGTATCGGCCATATTGTTTTCGAACATTCTGCGTTCAGATTTGATATCAGCCACCTTCGAAAATGATTCTGCATCGATTATATAATCGCGTATTTAAATATTTGTCAAGATGGAGGGCCTAGTATGGGGTTAAAATTGAACCATGGAACCGCGATCCTTTTAGAACGCCATATTGGGTCGACCATATTGTTTTCGAACATCCTGCGTTCAGATTTGTTATCAGCCACCTTCGAAAATGATTCTGCATCGATTATAAATCGCGTATTTAAATATTTGTCAAAATGGAGGGCCTAGTATGGGGTTAAAATTGAACCATGGAACCGCGATCCTTTTAGAACGCCATATTGGGTCGACCATATTGTTTTCGAACATCCTGCGTTGAGATTTGTTATCAGCCACCTTCGAAAATGATTCTGCATCGATTATAAATCGCGTATTTAAATATTTGTCAAAATGGAGGGCCTAGTATGGGGTTAAAATTGAACCATGGAACCGCGATCCTTTTAGAACGCCATATTGGGTCGACCATATTGTTTTCGAACATCCTGCGTTCAGATTTGTTATCAGCCACCTTCGAAAATGATTCTGCATCGATTATAAATCGCGTATTTAAATATTTGTCAAAATGGAGGGCCTGGTATGGGGTTAAAATTAAACCATGGAACCCTGATCCTTTTAGAACGCCATATTGTGTCGGCCATATTGTTTTCGAACATTCTGCGTTCAGATTTGTTATCAGCCACCTTCGAATCGGTCGTATAAAACTTTGAGAATGATTATAAATCGCGTATTTAAATATTTGACAAAATGGCGGGCTTGGTATTGGGTTAATTGCAGTTAAATCGACCGTAGAGCAGAAGAATAAGCGAGAAATTCGCGAAGCAGCCGGATAAACTTTGT